TTTTTTCCAATTTGCATAAAGGTGCCACAAGGGCTATGAGTGGCCTCAGACAGAGAAGTCAGGGCCATTGAACTTTGGGGAATTATTAAGAGTCTGACTGCCTCCTCCTGTCTTCTCCAGGCATGGGGCCAGCTGGAGAAGGCAGAGCATGATCGAGAGGCTGCCCTACGGGCTGAACTGATCCGGCAAGAGAAACTGGAACTACTGGCCCAGAGGTTTGACCACAAGGTGGCTATGAGGGAGAGCTGGCTGAATGAGAACCAGCGCCTTGTCTCCCAGGTACAAGGTGTAGGGCTTGGCTCCGGGGGAAAGGGAAAGAGGATGGGGCTGACAGCCCTGGGATGAGAGAGGGAGACTTGATCTCCTAAGCAACAGAGAAGGGTTGGTTTAGTCTCCTAGGTGACAAAAGAGAGTTGAAAAAGAAAGCTGGTCTCCTAAGTGATTAGTGGGTGAGGAGAGTGGGCCTGACCTTCAGGGTAATGGTAGATGAGGCTAGTCTCCAGAGTAACTGGAGAGGGCAGAATTAATCTCTTCAGAAATAGGGGGAGTGTTTAGCTAAACTCTTAAGTGACAAAGGAGATTGTATCTAGTTTCCAGGGTAACTCAGGAGGATAGACTTGGTCTCCAGAATAGGGCATATCTGTTGCATAATGTTCAGGGCAATGGAAGGATAGGACCTATTTCCTGGGTAACAAGTTTAGGGCTGGAGATATAATAGGGGAGGGTGGTACTGTCTCCAGGATAACTAGGGTCGGTGGGGCTGGTGGGCTAGTCTCCAAAGTAACAAGGGAGTGTGGGACTGGTCTCCAGGGTTATAGGGAAGGAATGGACTGGTCTCCGGGGTAACAGAAGAGGATGGGGTTGGTCTCCAGGGTAACTGGGAAGGATGGTACTGTTCACTAGGGTAACAGGGGAGGAGGAGGCTGGTCTCTAGTATGATTGACAAGGATGGGTCTCGTCTCCAGGGTAACTGGGAAGGGTAGGGCCAGTCTCCAGGGTAATGGGAGGGAGGGAGTTCCAGGGTCACACAGGATCAAGGTAACAGGTGGACTGCTGAGGCAGCATGGGTGAGTCTGGCCTGCACTGCCCCAGGACAACTTTGGGTATGAGCTGCCAGCAGTGGAGGCAGCCATGAAGAAACATGAAGCTATTGAGGCGGACATTGCAGCCTATGAGGAACGGGTACAGGGTGTTGCAGAGCTGGCTCAGGCATTGGCAGCTGAAGGCTACTATGATGCTCGGCGGGTGGCAGCCCAGCGTGACAGCGTCTTGCGCCAGTGGGCCTTACTGACTGGCCTGGTGGGTGCTCGGCGGACACGGCTCGAACAGAACCTGGCCCTGCAGAAAGTCTTCCAGGAGATGGTGTACATGGTGGACTGGATGGAGGAGATGCAGGTGGGGGCCAGAGAAAGGCTAAGGATGGGGGTGGTGTGTCAGGAGGGGAGAGAAAGATTTAGATACAAAGAAGTCAACGGAGAGTTGGAGATGAAAGGGGAGAGCCAGAAAGAGATAAAGAGAAAGTTAGAGAGAGAGAGACAGAGAGAGAGAAAGAGGTAGAGAAGCAAATACAAAGTTGGCAATGGAAATCTATATGGCTACAGAGAGAGGCACAGAGGGAGATGGACTCAATTTGGGGGGACTGGAGAGAGGAAGAATGAGAGCGCGCTACCAGAATTCAATAGCTAGATACAGAGAGAGATGAGGCAAGGGAGATGGAAGCCAAGAGGAAGATACAGACTCAAAGTGAAAGAGATAGGGGTAGAGTTGGAAAAAGAGAGAGAGTAAGAGAGAGATGGAAACAGAGAGGGGCAGACAAGAAAAAAATGGAAGAAGAAAGAGATGGAAATAGGGAGAGAGAGATTCCAGGACAGAGACAAGAGTCCAGAAATGTAAATCCAATGTGAGATGGAAGCCTTCAGAAGGAGACAGAGACAGAGAATGACAGAGATGGGGACTGAAACAGGTCAGAGCTCTGACTGAGGGTGTAGAGCAGCAGGAGCTGGCACAGGTGATGGGGAGAGGTGAGTGGCCTGGGGCAGTGCAAAGGCTGTGCTCAGCACTGTCCCCATTGCAGGCTCAGTTGTTGTCCCGGGAGTGTGGGCAGCACCTGGTGGAGGCAGATGACCTGTTGCAGAAACATGGATTGCTGGAGGGGGACATCGCAGCCCAGAGTGAGAGGGTAGAGGCACTCAACGCTGCTGCTCTGCGTTTCTCCCAGCTACAGGGTGAGTATTGAGGCTGGGACTAGGGGTGTAGACTCCTGGAGCTGGTGCTAGGCTAGCAGAGGATAAGCTCCCTGTTCTTGGAAGCATCTAAGCAGAGCCTAGGGGAATATTCCTTTAGCAAAATCTTAGGGAGGAGGAATTGGTGCCATGAGTGGCAGGTTGGACCATCTGACCTCTTCCTGCTTTGAGATTCTGCAGTAAGAGCTCAAGTTCATTAAGAACTTGTTATGTGCTAAGCCTTTCACAGTCCAATCTCAGTGAATACCATTAAAATACCTGTATAAAGTAATGTATAGATAGGGCCTGTTCAGCAGCAAGTGATAGAAACTCAATTGAATTGGCTTAAGGAGAAAAAGGGAATTTATTAGCTTATGTAACTAAAACAAGGGGTTTGGCTTCAGGTATGGCTAGATCCAGGGATGGTTTGGGGGTGCTTTTAAGCCTCCATCTCTCTCCATCTCTAGTCTCTATGTTGGTGTCATTATCAGGCAGTTCCTCTCCTTGTGGTTTAAATGAAGAGTCATTCAGCTCCATGTTTATATTCTGGCAGGAGATAGGTCACTTTCTCCCAAGAGTTGTCACAAAAGGTCTGAAGAAAGCTTGCCCTAGCTACAGTGAGTTCCACCCCTGTTGCATGACCCCAGGGCACTCAGTGATAGAATTGGCCACATCTATGTGACATGTCCATTTCAGGGCCAGGAGTGGCATCAGCCTGCTCCAAAGACACAGACTGGGAAAAGGGAGGGAGGTCTTTACCAGAAACAAGGACACAGATGGTGATAGGCAACACCAAGACTGGCTCTAATAAGATTCCCATTTTATTGATGGCATGCCAAAGGCCACCAGGAATCTTCCCATGGTCAAATCAACTTGAGTTTGTTGTCTCTTTGTGCACATGCTGGGGACCCCTGGACCATCTCAGTAAGAAAGTATGAGGAGGGGCTTAGGCTTTGGGCTGTGCCAGGTGGTCTGGAGGATCATTCTGCACAGTGTGTGGTGCTGTGGCCTGGATGCTGTCAGGACCTGGGGCATCTTCATCGTTTTTATCTAGGTGGTGGGAGGAGCAGAGGGAGGCTGTTGCAGTACATGGCAGCCATCATTCATCATAGCTGGGGGAGGTGGATGTGTGGTCATTTTTGTACTTTGCATGGTAACCTCCTTTTTGTACTCAGGCATGATTATGGAGTTGTTTTTGTCCTTGGTTTTGTCCTATTCCATCGTCATTACAGAGTGGCCTTGTCTGATACTGGTGGTCTGTGAGGTTGTTTATGTTCATCAGAGCACTCTGCCTAGCTGTGAGCAGTGACTGCTTTTATCTTCCTCACTGATGAGGAAACTGAGGCTCTGGCCACTGAGGGTTTTGAGGCTAGTTTGTCTCTCTCCACTTTGATGTTTCCCTGTTTGATCTAATGCCACAGCCCTTGGGAATCTTGGAGCATTTATTAGCAAAGAGAGAGCCAGTCTGTTTGCAGGTTGGTGAGGGAGTTTCTCACCCTCATGGACCTGGGCCACATCCTAAGAGCAAAGGGCAAATGTTGATGTTTCCTTCCAAGTCCCCGTGTGGACAGTGTCTAGGGCAGTGTCTCTCACACTTCCTTGATCTAGGGCAGTGTTTCTCACACTTACTTGATCCAGTAAGAAATCCACTTACCTCATGACCTAGAGTTCACATGCGCACATGTGCGCACATCACAGACAGAAGCAGAAGTTTTATAAAACAATTGCTCCCCCTTATCTCACGTGTTGAATTCTGAAATTTTTCCATTCATTCTATCCTATCCAGTGAAGAGATGCTGGCCGTGACCCATTAAATTAATTTCACAGTTCTTTAGTTACAAACTAGAGATCCAGGAAGAAAATGAAATATTTGAGGAAAAAGGGGAGTTCATGTCCTCCCTAGGATTAATTAGTTAGGGCAGCAGACGGTGAGAGAGGGGACCTGGAAACGGCGCTTAAGAGCAGAGAAGTTTCCTTTGGCCCAGTTTTCAGAGACAGCCCGGTTTCTTCCTCACTGAATTCGCGTCCAATGGAGGAGACAAAATAGGCAGTGTAGTCAGGTCTGGGGAGTGGGGACAGAGAAGCCCAAGAGGGTCCAGAGAAGGCTCCTTCCCTGGCCTTGGGGAGTCAGGGAAGCCTGCCTGCAGGAGGGGACTCGTGACCTGGCACCTAAAGAACAGGTTAGGTAGCCCCTTCTCTTGGGCGCCCTATGGCCGGTGTCCAACCTGGAACCCTCCCCTTCTGCCGGCCCAGGCTACCAGCCCTGCGACCCGCAGGTCATCTGCAACCGCGTGAACCATGTACACGGCTGTCTGGCGGAGCTGCGGGAGCAGGCAGCTCAGCGGCGCGCAGAGCTGGAGGCCTCGCGGAGCCTGTGGGCGCTGCTGCAGGAGCTGGAGGAAGCGGAAAGCTGGGCACGCGACAAGGAGCGCCTCCTAGAGGCTGCGGGCGGCGGCGGCGCGGCGGGCGCAGCTGGAGCGGCGGGCTCGGCGGGCGGAGCTCATGACCTGTCCAGCACCGCGCGCCTACTGGCGCAGCACAAGATCTTGCAAGGCGAGCTGGGCGGGCGGCGGGCGCTGCTGCAGCAGGCTCTGCGGCGCGGTGAGGAGCTGGCTGCGGCCGGCGGCGCCGTGGGCCTGGGCGCCGAGACAGTGCACCTGGCGGGCCTGGCGGAGCGCGCGGCGAGCGCTCGGCGCCGCTGGCAGCGGCTGGAAGAGGCGGCGGCAAGGCGGGAGCGGCGGCTGCAGGAGGCGCGGGCGCTGCACCAGTTTGGCGCTGACCTCGATGGGCTCCTGGACTGGCTTCGGGATGCTTACCGCCTGGCAGCCGCCGGCGACTTCGGTCACGACGAAGCATCCAGCCGCCGCCTGGCTCGCCAGCACCGGGCGCTCACAGGGGAGGTGGAGGCGCATCGCGGTGCCGTGGGCAGCCTCCGGCGCCAGCTGGCGACGCTGGGAGGTGCCAGTGGGGCTGGGCCGCTGGTGGTGGCGCTGCAGGTGCGTGTGGTGGAGGCTGAGCAGTTATTTGCCGAGGTGACCGAGGTGGCCGCCCTGAGACGCCAGTGGCTGCGGGACGCCCTCGCTGTATACCGCATGTTCGGCGAGGTGCACGCCTGTGAGCTGTGGATCGGCGAAAAGGAGCAATGGCTGCTTTCCATGCGCGTGCCCGATTCACTGGACGACGTCGAGGTGGTGCAGCACCGGTGAGCGCGCTCTTGTGAGACTCTTGGGCCTCTTCCTCTTGCGCCCCGTCTTGCCTTTGTTAGGTCAACAGGTCCCGTGCTAGCGCAGCTGGAATTAGGGGCTCAAATCCCTCATTCATCCTTAACCAGTTTTGTGACAGTTTTGCGATTTGCCCAACCTCTATAAACCTCAGTTTGCTCATCTGTAAAATAGCCCTTACCCGGGTGTGTGATGAATAGTAAATGAGTTAATACATGCAGGACACTTAGATGCCTGGGGATGCAGGGTGCACTCCCCAAACATTCGCAATTATTACTGAGGCTCACATTTACACAGCCTGAAATTAACAATTTAAGCTCCTCCGTGGACACCTCAGCCTGGCTCCTCCCCTGGGACTCCCATTGCCACTGCACAAAAATAACCTCCCTAGTTATAAAAAGAGCTCTGACCCTTGTCACTTTCTTTTCCTTCATTCTGCTTTACCTTTCTTCAGAGGACTTACCACCCTGTGACATATTACAGATTATCTGTTGGCTGACTTATTGATCGGTAGTCAATTTAGTGGATGAACAATGTTTATTCTCTGTCTGCACCCTTCCCCCACCAGGATTTGGTTCATCCATTCATTCATTCATTCAACAGGTTTTTACCATTCTACGTCTTGGGCTGGGCATTGATAGAAACACAGGCCTGCTCTTCACCCAATTGTTTCAAATGTTGTTTTAAACAAGGAAGGACCATGCCTTGTTTAAAACAGATTACCCTAGAGGATGGGATGGAGGGGCTAAGAGTGGTGGCTGAGAGCCCAGAGAAGTGGCTGTAGGCAGGACTCAGATGGAAGAGAACAGGACTGGACCAGGGCAGGAGGTCAAGTGGACAGGCCATGGGGACTGATGGGTTGGGGCAATTGTCCAAAACAAGGCCCTGGGCCCTGACCTGGTGGGGTTATCCCTGAGATGGGACCCAGAAGGAGAAGCTGAGAGCAATTTTAGTCAGTGTGAGTATGAGGACCCAAGGAGGCACATAGCAGGCCCTGAGGTTGGAGACAGGTTCAGAAGGAAAGGGGCTGAGGATGGACACTAATGTGTGGAAGCCATGAGGTCAGGGGTGAGGACCCAGCCTATGGGATGAGCAAGATGGCCCAGAGAGGAAATGAGACCAGCAGGCCCAGGACCGAGTGCTGAGGAATCTAACATGTATGCAGCAGGTGAAAGAGAAGAAGGAGGCAGCAAGAGAGCCTGAGAAGTTAGGAGAGTAGAGCCGGGAGGAGGCAGTTTCATAAAAATCCCAGCTCCCCTCAGTCAAAGTCTCTGAGCACCTTCATCCTCCTTTGTAGATTTGAGAGCCTGGACCAGGAGATGAACAGTCTGATGGGCCGAGTTCTGGATGTGAACCACACAGTCCAGGAGCTGGTGGAAGGAGGCCACCCCAGTTCAGATGAGGTGCGCTCTTGCCAGGACCACCTCAACAGCAGGTACGAAAACAGAGGATCAGTTAAGGAAATGACTTGCCCAAGGTAACAAGTCTGACCAGAGCATAAACTTGAACTGCATTTTTTTCTGATTTCAGAGTCCAAATCTATGTTATATCTCTATTCTCTTGTTATAGCTGTATTTTAGAGGGGGCAGAGAGCCAATTAAATAAACTAATAAAGGATAAGACTCATATTTAGAAAGTTATAAGGCTTCACAGAAGAAATAGAGTGACCTAGCAGAGCATAACCAGGGTTTGGCGGTGATTTTACTTTATTCATTTATTTGTTTCTATATTTATGTATTTATTTATTGAGATAGGGTCTTGCTCCGTCACTTGGGTTAAAGTGTAGCAGCATGGCCCTAGCTTACTATAATCTCAAACTCCTGGGCTCAAGCCGTTCTACTGGCAGAGTGGGTCATGTGTGTGTATGGGAGGGGAAAGAGGGTACAGAGAATTAGGGAACACAGCTAGGGCAAAGGCCCTTAGGCAGGAAAGGGCTTAATATGTTTCCAAAGATTGTCCTCACTCAATAATAGTAGCAAACAGATATTGCTTGAAGCATGTTATAAACTACAACTTTTGGATAGGATGGCTCACACCTATAATCCCAGCGCTTTAGGAGGCCAAGGCATGAGGATTGCTCTAGGCCAGGAATCCAAACCCAGCCTGGGCAACATAGTGAGACTCTGTCTATACCAGAAAGAAAAAATCCAGCCTGACCAACATAGTGAGACCATGTTTCTATGAAAAAAATAGAAAAATTAGCCAGGTATGGTGGCATGCACCTCTAATCCCAGCTACTTGGGAGGCTCAGGCAAGAGGATGACTTGAGCCCAGGCGTTTGAGGTTGCAAGTGAGCTATGATCATGCCCACTGCACTCCAACCTGGCAACATAACAAGACTATTTCAAAAATAAAGACACAAACCATAACTCATCTGACTCTTATAACACCCTGTGAGGTAGGTGCTATGCTCTGATTGTGTCCATTTTACCAATAGGGAAACTGAGGCACAGGGAGGGTTACTCACCCAAAGGTTGAACAGCTTGGATCTGACTCCAGGCAGTTTGGCACCACTTCTGTGCCTGTAATCTGGACCACACACTGCCTAGGAGGGGTTTTTGAGACCCAGAGATATATCATCTCTTGCTTGAGGGCACAGAGCCATACTGAATTTTTCCCATTAATTTATAATGACCTAGAACAGGTTTGCCTTCCTCAGCACTATATCCTCAGCATGTCACTCATGGTAGATACTCAATAACTATCTGTTGGACCCAACTACATCTCATTATCTGATATTGTAAGCCAGACATTCTTACACTCTGGTCTCTGAAATTCTTTGCACTCTTAAAAAACTATTGATGGCCAGAAACAGTGGCTCATGCCTGTAATTCTAGCATTCTGGGAGGTCAAGGAGGGCAGATCGCCTGAGCTTAGGAGTTTAAGAGCAGCCTTAGCAAGAGTCTCTACTAAAAACAGAAAAATTAGCCAGGCATTGTGGGGGGGTGCCTGCAGTCCTAGCTACTTGGGAGGTGAAGGCAAGAGGACCTCTTGAGCCCAAGAGTGTGAGGTTGCTGTGAGCCATGATGTCACAGCACCCTACCCAGGGTGACAGAGTGAGACTCTTTCTCAAAAAAATTAAAAACTAAAAAAACCTATGAGGACTCCAAAGAGCTTGTTTCAGTGAGTTATATCTACTAATGTTCTCTATATTAGAACCCAATATAAGAAATTTTAAAACATAAAGTTGTTTAAAAATAATAAGCCAATACAATGCATTCTGTAGTCACAGCTACTCAGGAGGCTGAGGCAGGAGGATTGCTTGAGCCCAAGAGTTTGAGATTGCTTTGAGCTAGGCTGACACCACAGCACTCTAGTTTGGGGAATAGAGTGAGACTTTT